GTTCGTTCCAATTTTTAAAGTTTTATATTAATACTTTCATTCGTCGAGTGTAGCATTGTGTTAAACATCGCAAGAATTTGGTGACCCAGTCATTGCTTTAATATTTTTTGCTTCCTATTTACTTGGCTCTATTTTTAAATATTTGATTAGCGTAAATGAAGCTTAAGAACTACCAGCTCCAGTGTCCAAGAGTGCTCTCACATTATATTCACTAATCCTAACAACATTTGTCGGATGAATAGTTTGTCCTTTGTATCCAGTCATAAAGGTTCCCCTCTTTAGATTCTTTTTATGGTCATAAGTGTATACATATAAATGATATTTTCCTTTGTAATGATAGCAAAAACACCTACCTGCTGCAGTTCGATACTGAATGGTTTGTTGAAGTGCAGTTAGAAAAGCGATGGTTTTTTTTAAGTGATTATTTTCTTTACGGAGTTGATTGGATTTTCGTACATTTGTGAAGACGGTGATTTTGTGAACTGCATTAAACACACTTTTTAGTTTTTATTTCGTTATATTGAAATTTTTTTTTCTATTTGATGTTTGTGCTTCCAATTATTGTAAGGTTTTGTATCTTTGTTTTCTTTTCTGATAATATTACTAGGTTGTCTAAAAGATAATTTCTTGTTTTACGCAAACAGTTTCTTTCTGCATTATCCATTTTTTTTTTTTATTGTGTCTGTTTTTTTCTAATAAAGTAAGAATGTCGTATTGATGTTTAATTAAGTTATTTTGTTGTTCATACTAGCAACCAATGACGGCATTATTTTCGCCTATTTTTAATACTTCTCTATTTTGGATTAAGTTAAAAATTCTAGGGAATTTGGCTTTGATAGTTGGTGTCAATCGTTCGATAGAATATATATCGTTCCTGTTTAATGTCATGCGTACTTCTAAACCGAGTCGCTCAACTTTTGCTTAGGTTAGTTCCAATTTTCTTGTAAGTGTTGCAATAAGATTTTTGTGTTGCTTAGGAGGCATTTTAAATTTCTTTGTAGATTACCTTATTCAGTTGATCACTTGTTGAAGTCTTCAGTAGATTTTAAATGTCCCGGAACGGTTGCAACTTTGTATCGTGAATTTAGTATTCTGTTTCTTGCGTACAACTGACTTAGGAATATCAATTTTAATGCATAATATATTTTTAATATAAACCAACGCAAATTATACACAACTGGTAATTATCCGTAAATAAAATACGCTACTTAAGTATTCCTTTGATACCTAAAAAATCTTTAAAAATACCGTAAAAAAAGACATCATTGCGTGATTAATTTACAAAAGTTCTTACTAAATATTATAAGTTTATAACATTATTCAATTAACTCTTTCTATTTTTACAGCTTCTTGATTTTTCTATAACTTAATGATTTGCACATACACTAATGAAAAAAAAACTAATGATGTCTCTCCTAGAGTTCTTTTCAGTGTTTATAAACGTCGTAAATTATCTCGCCTTCACTTTTTCCTTAAGAAGTTGGCTGCTGCCTCTCATTAAATATTTAGCAACAAAATGTTTTACCTCCAGTACCCTAAGCGTTTTTAATATGGGTAAAACCTCTTTTTTTCATGCAAAATGATATAAAAGCTAACATTTCAGGTGAAGGCCATTAATGGCCACTTCTAGAAAAACTTTAGAGGCCGCCTCAAGCGGCTTCTAAATCTCAGCAGCTAGCGACTCCGATTCGGAAGCAGTAATATTTGGGTCCCACAAGCAGGATGTATAAAAAAATAATTTAACGTTTATTTTAAAGTTAACATGCAGTTAAAATATCATATACACATCAAAGTTTTGCTTTATTTGATTTATTGAAAAAATTTTCAAAATTTTATCAAAATAACAACATTTTAAAAATGGTTGTTAATTGAAAAAACGCTAACAAAAATTAATAAAATCGAAAAAATAATTTATTTTTTTTAAATTTAATAAATAATTATTTTCATATTTTAAACGACTATTAAAAACATAAAAGCTTTATTATTATTATTATTATATTTTCTTTGCCGTATAATTAAATTTACAATGAGAAAAAACCATTCATGTATAAAAATTGGCCGGAGCAAGAAGAAGACATAAACTGTCTTATCACCAAGCCCCGTTTACATTAACGTCACAAAGTTACAAGTTAAAAACTAAAAGGTTAAAAATTGAAGTACAATACAATATTAGTTCGACAAATATAAGACACAAGTAATAAATCGAATAAATGTTATTTGTCTGTTCAAAATTAATAGTATATATATTTTTTATTTTAATAAGAAATAAACAAGATACACAAGACAATAGTAAATGAGTAGTGATGACTTTTTCAGGTTTAATTATTTTAGGTGATTTTAGAAGAAATCTTTAAAATCGAAAGTTTTTTCTAATAGAAAACGTTTAGATTCTCTTTTGAATTGTTCTAAGGAGATGCCTCGAAGAATTTTATTTTTAATTATATTTTTTAAAAAACCTTTCCATATAAATGGTCCCCGGTATTGAATTTGAAATGAATTGAGTTTTAAATAAGATCTTGGAATAACAAAATTATCAGATGAAAATTTAGTGGGATATTTATGAGATATTTCGGTAAAATAAGACTGAAATATATTAGGAGATAACGCATGTTTTGTTTTAAACGTAAATAGGATAACTTGGTATATATTAAGTTTGTAAATATTAAGCACATTAAGTTTCTTTAAAAGAGATTCACCATTAACAGTTCTGTTAACGCCAAAAATAATCCTACAAGCATGTTTTTGTCTGCTATAAATTTTTTTGAGCTTCCCATAATTGGTACTTGCCCATGCAAGATTACAATAGGAAAGGTAACTATGAATAAATGAGAAATATATAATTTTTAAAGATTCCGTATTAAGAAAAGGTTTAACTTTATATAGCATTGAAATATTTTTGGAGATTTTATTTTCAATAGATCTAATATGATATTTCCATGATATATTTTCATCTAATATCACTCCTAGAAAGTTAATAGTTGACTCTCTTTTAATAACTTTTTTGTTCATAAAGAGATCAGGTAGTTTTAAAAAAAGGTTATCACCTTTACTAGGTTTGTGGAACAACATAAATTTAGTTTTCCCAACATTTAATGAAAGTTTATTATTCGTAATCCATTCATTTATTTTTAATAACTCTTCATTAAAAATTCTAAACAGATCTTTAATATTTCTGTTAGAGTAAAAAAGATTTGAGTCATCAGCAAACAAAATAACGTTTAGAATTTTGGATGCTAAATACAAATCATCAATGAACAGTATGAATAATAAGGGCCCTAAGATTGATCCCTGGGGAACACCACAAGTTATGATATGTTTTTTTTCTTCATTTTCTGTATATATTATGTATTGTTTCCTGTTTGAAAGGTAACTTTTAAACCATTGTAAGTTATTGTTTAATACTCCATACATTTCTAGTTTTTTTATTAGAATATCATGATTAACTGTGTCAAATGCTTTTGACAAATCAATAAAAACTCCTAATGTATAGCAATCATTATTGAACCCATTGGATACATAATTTATTAGATCGACTACTGCATGGTCCGTTGAATGATTTTTTTTAAACCCAAATTGTTTATTATACAGAATATTGTTCTCAGTTAAATAGTTGTTAAGTCTATCATACATAATTCGCTCTAACAATTTAGAGAAACATGGTAAGACAGAAATAGGTCTATAATTGGACATATTTGTATCATCGCCATTTTTAAAAATAGGTATAATCTTAGCAATTTAAGCTTAGTTTTATGCCTTATACAAAATAACTACAAATAAAAAATTATAATAAATAATTAAATTTTTAGTTTATTATCAAAGTTTGTAAATTTTTAGTACAATCATCGTACCAAAATTTATCAAAACACGTGAAAACTTTAAAAAATATTTCAATAGCAAAAAATAGCAACGGTTTATAAATAATTTAGTTTTTTGATCTGCTTTCAAAAAAAACTATATATAAAAGTAATAGTTAAAGCAAAGTTTAACTAAATCAGATATAAAAAGAGCTGATTTAAAAAAAATTCAAAAACTTGTTTCTTAATTATTTTTGCTTGAAACTCAATAGTGTTTTGTTAATAGCTTCGTCAGTTTTAGTTTCCACACATTTATTTCTTCTAAATAAAGTAAAAAAGTAACTTAATTATCTTAAAACATTAAGATATTTAATATATATATATATATATATATATATATATATATATATATATATATATATATATATATATATATATATATATATATATATTTGCGTGTGTGCATATGTGTGTGTGTAAAAAATTTGTAAAAAATGTTTCTTAAAAAGTGAGAGTTTTTCATAAAATAAGGTGTTTGAAGTATGGTAGTATAAAAAAACACTTTTATAAAGAGTAAATCAGAACCTTTTTAACTTTTTAATTTTTTTCTTGAATTTCGAAATTAAAAAATTTTTCCTAACAAATCTAATATTTAAAGATGCATAGACGTAAATATTTAGGTCATATTTTTTACATCTTTATTAAAGGAGTATGTTATATGTTGAAATAGGAAATAAATACCTGAATTCGATTCAAAAACCGTTCAAAACTTTTTCAAATAGTGTACTTAAAAAGGCTATCAAACTTTTTTGCTACTTTGCAAACATACGGACGGCCAATTAAATATAGCTCACAGAACTCTAATGAGTCATATTAAAGGTTTACGCAAAAAAAGTCTTGTTCGTCAAAAGAGTTTGTTGCCACCAGACAAAGAATTCTTAATTACACAATTTAGTTTTTAGTTTTACGCATTTTTATTTAATATATTTCTTTTTAAAGCAACGCAAAAGAAAAAAACGTTTTTAGAGGCTCTTTTATCTCATGGTCTTATTTTAATAACTACCAAGAGTTTCACGTAAAAGTATTACTAATTATTATATTTAAATATTTGAAAATATGAAACTCAGTTAACAAAAATTCTGGATACCCTTCTCACTCTTATGTATGCCTATGTTTTAAAACATAAAGTTATAAATAGCGACTTACGAGCTGTTGAACATTTAGTATAAAGTACTAAAAAAAGCATTAAACCAGATTTTGAGTAAATATTTTTCTTCATTGTAAAAAGAATTTTATATCTTTAAAGAACCTGCTTTTTAATGCATGAGTAATTCAGTTTTTTTTGCTTTTAATTTTTTTAACATTAATTATGCAAACTATGATATATTTTTAACAATTATATTCATTAATTTAATGGCTATTTAAAAAAAGCACTAGGTATACGCAGTTTGCCATTCAAAAATTTATTTTATTTTTATTATTGTTTAAATATTTGAATAATGGTAAGCTAAAACAATCATTTAAAAAAATAGAAAAATACAATTTTTACTGTTGACAGTTTTGAACGTTCTTTTGCTTTCGGCGAGTGATAAACGTTTAAAAAACCTTATCATGCAGGAATTTGCTACATCAAAACGCATATTTTAAATATTTACTGTGTATTTAAAATTCAATTATGATTCAATTTTATTACAAGTTGTAATAAAATCGAACCTTATGGTGCATTGCTGATAACGTTTTTCCAATTTAAGATGTATTTTTTAAATATAGTACTCTTAGAAGAAGAAATATAGTACTCTTTTTTGTGAGCCATCTATTAATGGATGAGCAAAGCACCTCTTTGATTATGTAGCTTTAACATTTGTAGAAAAGTATTTTGTAAGGAGTTTTGATGAGGTATTTTTACAAATTGTAAAAATGAAGTCATTTGTATGTTACCATTATTCAAATATTTAAACAATAAACTCTGTCATAAAGTCAGGTACCACGAAAAGGTTTGTCAATTAATAACATATGAAAACAAAGTCCTGATGTTTTTAAATGTTCCAAATGCAGTGATTTTAATCTTTTTTTGACAGAAATCCAAATAATTTTGCAAGAGAAACTAGCAATACTGGTATTATTGCATATTTTTAGCTGCAGGCACTTGACTTAATATGGAAATCTGAAAAATAAATGTGATAGAATAGAAAATACTAAAGATAAACCATGTACCATGTCTTCAAAAAGTTTTAGAGTACATTATGACTACACAGACTAGTCAATCTGGATTTAAAAAGAATCACTAAACTGATCAAGCAATACGTAATCTTGTTAAAATTGTGTTTCAAGCATTCGATAAAAATAAAAGTACGTAATATGTATTTATTTGATCTTAGCAAAGCATTTGACACTGTTGATTGGTATATTATCCTAAATAAACTAAAATAACACGAGATTAAACATGCCATGATAAAATGATTTCATCAAAAAATGAGTTATTGGTAGTGCTTCGTACCTGAGAAAAACGTTTTTCTACTGTTTTGAAATTTAAGTTGTAAGTAAAAATGTTGCAAGGAAAACATAAGTTGTAAAATCGTTTTTATATGCTGTCTCTAAAATATTTTATTTTTTAAATTATTTCATCTCCAAACTTATAAATGTAGAGTCATAACAAAATAATTCTAATGTCGCAATTTCTCAAGCAGGAAACAGTTCATTTCTATTTCCTGCTGTGAAACTGATAGTATGAACATAAACTGTGAGGTTCACCGAAAATTATATTTAAAATCAATTCTATTTTTATTTATGGTAATGATTTAGGCATATCTTGTAACTTATTGGACGTTATTCTGTATGTTGATAATACAAACTTTATACATGCTCATCCTGATATGAAAATGTTATTTACGTCAGTTAACTCTTAAAACATACAGAATGGTCTAATTCAATAAAATCACAAATTTAACTAAAACAAATATCAATTTAACTAAAAAAAATATTCGTCTTTTACTCCCTTTCATTAATAAAATAAATAAAATCCCCTTAAAACTTCCAATACTATGTATTGTCAGTCAAGCTATAAAAAGAAAATTCTCATTAAAAATCATAGGCGTACTTCTTGACAAAAAAGTATTAAACAGGTCATACATTTTATTTTGAAATTAAAATTTAAAAAACTTTTTTGCCTATTTATTAAAGCAAGGTCTTTATTATATCAAACTTTCCTAAAATCACTGTATTTCTCTTATTGTCTTGGTTATCTAAATTAAGTAGACATAATTTTATAGCTTGGTGTAGAACAAATAAAAACAAAATTAAAAAACTTTGCAGAAAACAAAAATATGCAGATGCAATATTATCTAATGTTGCTGTTTTACGCCTTTCGAAGAACTTTTTGTAATGCTGAATATACTCATTGTCTACCAAATTAAAACTTATCATCTTTTAGTTTTTATGTTCAAAGTTATTCAACAAATAAGCTCAATATTTTTAACTTTAGCGTTTAAAATATTTAGCATTATTTTTAAATAAAATAACACTAACGTTAATACTAAGTTATTCATAATAGTTAAACACAGATACTTAACCAGATACTCAGTCAACACTTATATTCGGCCAAAAAAATTTTTCACACAACTTTGTTTTCAATACATGTTAGAGGACAAAAAGTATAGACGGGTTGCTGTGTTTACATTCAAAAACGCATGCGCAAAAAACGACAGGCAAAACGTTTGATCTAAAGCTAAGCAAGCAAAAGTTATGTTGAGAAGTTTATACAAGTAAACTGTGTGAATATAAAAAGTCTCACAAAGTGGATCCAGCGCGTTAAAATATGTCAAAATTTTTTATCCAGAATTAAAAAACACTTTGCTAATTTTTAAAAGTAAAATGAATTTTAAATTAACAGAGTAAACTTTTATTAATCTATACTTTTATTAATCCAGCAAAGTTATAGAAAAACCGAAAATTCGTATCAAAATTTACAAAAGCTGTTGTTTTTAATATTATTAGTTGGTAAATTGATGAAACAGAGAACTGTAATAAAACAAAGACTGCATAAGAAAATGAGTTTTACTATACTCCTAAAGATCAGGCTGAACCAATTATTGTTTAATATGACCATTGCTTATTAACAAAAGCCAAGATAAAATTGCAAAAAAAACCAAAAGTTTCATTCAAATTGATGATGAAATCTCATCAAAATTAACATAAAACAATTTAAAAATTTGTTTAAAACCTAAAGAAAAAACACTTCTTGGAAAATTCATAGGGCTAGATCTCATCTGTTTATAAAATACTGAATCTGTTTATAAAATGAAGTACAATGTAAATATTGGTAACCCCTTACAAGTCTTTATATGTGAAATGTAATGTTCTAAAATGGTTTGCTATATTCCAAAAGATTATAATCTTAAAAATGAAAATATTGCAAAATATAAACTTTTGAATGCAATGTCACTACATTCGCTGGTTTGAACATTAATGTTGATTATCCTTAGTGCAAGTCAAACTAAAACTGAAAAAATGAAATTGTCATGAAACGGGTATTTTTTAAATGAAATTCTCTTTGATTATAAAAACAGCTTAGAGTTGTGGAAAGATGACCAAAATTATTCACCTAATAAAAACGGTCTAATTAAAACTAATCACAAGTATTACTATCAAATGCACCAACAAACGAAAGTAACGAACACAAAATATTATCTGTTAAAGTAATAAAAACATGACAAATGATAAACTCTGTATCTTTAAAAACAAACTTAGTTTTTGAAGAAATTTCATTAAAAACTTGTAGCAAGAAAATTAAATTCAAATCAACTACAGCTGTTTTGCGTGCGTATATTTTCATTGTCCAGTCAAATGGTATCATTACCTCTGTCTTCAAATAAAAATGGTTTTTCTCTACCTGCATTTTGCTGCATAAAGACAATATAATAAGGTTTTGTGTAACACTACTAAGTAAAATTTAGCGTTTCTTTGAAATTGGAAAACATAATTTATGATTTGCTGACAAACCTTTTGCCATAAAACATTTTATAAACGTTGTTAATATTAAAATTTTTAAAAATTTTGTAGATAAAAAATATTTGTAAATAAGCTTTAGTTAAACTACATTTAAATTATTTTTTAATTTCCGTTTCAAACAGACTTATAAATAGCTAAAAAGCCTAATATGCAAATTTAGGGACTTCGAACAAACATGTAATTATACTTAAATAAATGTGACTGCAATTACTTTTAATTATTATAAAAGATTTATATATTTAATTTAATACATATATATATATATATATATATATATATATATATATATATATATATATATATATATATATATATATATATATATATATATATATATATATATATATATATATATATACCCAGCGGGCACGGCAACGTCCATATGACGTCAAAAGGACGTCTTTTTAGGACGTCCAGAACTGATTCTAAATGACAACGCCAGATGACGTCTTTTTAAGACGTAATTAGTACGTCTTTTTAGGACGGAATAAAGACGTGTTTTTATACGTCTAAAAGACGTGAATTTAGGATTTTTAGAACTAGTGCTAAATGGAAACGCCGAATTACGTCTTTAAATAACCTAATTTAGACGTTCTTATTTCGACGTCTAAAATACGTGTTCTAACATGGCTTTACTTAAGGTTTACGTAAGGTTTAAATTTATGTTTTCACAGAACTTCTTGAGAATAAGAAAAAGTAATAAATCATTTAAATTTTTTAATAATATAATTGTGCTGAGTTTTATAAATTACAACTTTGTAAACTTCTTCTTCCACTTGTCGAACAGTTGACGTCATTCACCTTCTTTTCGATCAGATGCACTCTTCAAAATATTGCCACCAGCATTTTAATTTTTTTTTTTTTTTGCTGTAGGAATAAGGGAAGCAGTCTTAACCTTAAAAAAATATTATTAAGATAAGTATGTAAAAATAAAGGGGAAAGAAATATATAACACAAACACACACATTTATATAACTACTATTTTATAAACATAGCATCAAACATCAAAAAATACGAACTTCTCAACACTAAATTTATTTTTTTAAAGAAATTTTTGACTGGATTGTTGTGACCAGCGTATATATTTATGTATATCAAGTATGCAATATAAAATGCTCTTTTTATAGTAAAATTATACTTACTTTGAAAGCATGCCCTTCTCAAATGCACTGCATGATGAAACAATATGCTATTATACTTTATATATATATAAATTATAATAGAAAAAATATATATTACATCTTAGCTTCTAACAAGGCTGCGAACAACCACTATAAGAGTTTGGAAGTTATTAGAAGAGAAA